CCGGCCCGGGCCCCGCTCCAGGTCCCTGAACCCCGGCCCGTCTGCATTCACCTGATGTCCACTTTTCAGTTTCTGTCTTTAAACATAGGCCCCCTTTAAAAAACAAACAAAACCGAGCACAAAACAAAACCACAGAAAACACGGACACAGGCAAATAGAACTTTGTGCCTCCCTGTCACTGACCGGCCTCCCGGGCACCGTGGCCGCGTTGCCTAACTGCATGTGGGGGAGGCTGCGCCATCTCGTTCGCTGGGTCACTGGCTTCTGTGCAGTGGGTGGGTCTAGAGGCGTGAGAGGAAAAGGGGGCTTGTCTTTCCCTTGCATAGTGTACCCCCAATCCAGGAGTTCATGGGAATGCCCGCCCCGTGAGGCCCATGGCCGGCCCGGCCACTGCTGAGTCACCCTCCCCCAATGGTGCTCCCTGTGGGGTCCCACGTGGCACCAAGGGACCCTGGGACTGGACTTTGGCACAGCTGGCTTGCTGCCCGGCCCCTCCCCAATGTCATGCTTTCCTGGCCTAAGCCTCCTCCACGGTTGTTACTGGGGCCCTGGGTAATGGACGCCCCGCCCGAGGAAGGAGGCTGAGCAGGCGGGTGCTTTTCCTGCCTTAGCTAACTTCAGACGTCAAGATTGTCCTCGAGTTTCTGCCAACAGGGCAGAGGACAGGGCAATCTCTGATCCTAGCAGCGGGTCCCACGGTAAGGAGGCTGTGCCCCAAACGCCACCAAAGGTGGCCAGAAAGTCGGGGCCTTTATTCTTTAGGTTTCTGCCGCATGGCGTGTTCACTCACCCGAGAGAGAGATGGAAAGTGAGAAATCACCCCCCAGGGAGAGGGCCACACTGCAACCCCCTTTTCTTCTTTGTCCTCTTAGGATTCGGGGCACGCATGCATAAGCACCCAGAGTGGTTTTCAAGCCACCAGGTCTGGGACTTGAACCGTGGAGTCAGTCATGTGGGATCCAGCATCTTGACCAGCACACCACCTCCTGGCCAGTCAGGGCCTGTTTCGAAGCTGGTGTTTACTGAGCTAATCTCAACACGTTAGACCACATTGGAAACGTCAGGAGTGAGTGCTCCTTGTCCAGTGGCTGCTTACCCAGGTGGCAATGGAAGATAAACCCAGAGGACTTTGGTCAGGCGACCTGAGGGCTCAATCAAAACGCATAGTATCAATATGAGAAAACACAGGACGTCCCGTGGGGCCAGGTGGGGTGGCCAGTGCCCGCCATCCCAGCTCCTGAGGGGGCGGAGCAGGAGGGTGGGCGTTCAAGGCCGCCTGGGCCACATTGCTCAGGACGGAATGGGGGAGGAGAGCCGTGCACGCAGAGCCCCGTGCATGCCCACTGACTGCCCTGCTCTCCTCCTGGCTCCTGTCAGAGATCCCGGGCCCAAGGCAGAGCCGTGACGGGGCGGAGTCGGATCTGATGGCGCCCTCTGTCTCCTCGGTCCCTGTCCTCGGTCTTGCTGCTGCTTTGCACCTGCACGCGGTCTCAGCTGGGTCTGCTTCTGCCTCCTGGGTGGCTCCAGGCGTGCACGGCCTCTCCCGGGAGTACGGCCACACTGGGGGCGTTTTGCCTGATGCAGCGCCAAGTTGCAGGTTACAGAGCAGCTCGGGCGACTCAGGCCGCCTGTCGCCCAGAGCCTGCCCATCACTTCCTCCTTCACCTGCACTGTGTATGCGTGCACGTGTACGTGTGTGGATGCGGATGTGTGTTCATGTGTGCACACGTGCACGTGTATGTGTGAGCAGGCATGTGCGCACCCATGCATGTGCGTGTACACATGGGTGTGCGTGTGCACATGTGCATGTGAATGTTCATGTGGATGTGTATGCATGTATATCTGTGCGTGTGTGGGTGTGCCCACACACATGTGCAAGTGTATATGCATGTGTGCACCCACATGTGCATTTGTGCATGCATATGTGTGTCCAGGTGTGTGTGCATGTATGTGCATGCATGTGAGTGTATGTGTTGTAGAGAGCATGCCGCTCCAGCACCACATAGTCCCATGTGTATTTTCTTGGAACTAATAATTCCATTTAATAACTACAGTCCAATGAGCTAAACTAGGAAATTAAATCTTAATATAATATTAAATTTATAGCCCATAATAAATTTTATAAATGATCTAATAATAGTCTTTAAACCTTTCCCCCATGCCAGGGCCCAATTCAGTAAGACTATATTTAGTCAGCAGGTCTCTTTAGGTTTTTTTTCTTTATTTTTTTCAAAGAATCATTTATTTATTTATTTATTTACTAGTATTCAATTTGAGCAGAGAGACAGAAAGAGAGAGAAAGAGAGAGAGAGAGAGAGAGAGAGAGAGAGAAAGCAAGCCGCCAGGTCTAGGACTCAAACTGCAGTTGGCCATATGGGAGTCCAGCACCTTGACCACCAACCACGCCACCTGCCAGTCCCAAGTTTTCTCCTTCTTTTTGAAAAACTTTGCCAGAGGGTCGGGCCAGGTGGAGGCACAGAGGTACTACTGCCACTGGGCCCCATGGGAAAGGTCCCAGGTTTATGGCCTGGCCTCCGGGCGTGCCAGGTGGACGGTGGCAGGACGACCCTGATGGTGTGCCTCTCTGGCTCACTGGGGAGAGACTGAGAGACAGAGACAGAGAGAGAGAGCAACCTTTGTGGGAGACGGCCACACTGCGGTCCCTTCCCCTCCATCTCTCCCTCTTTTTTGGGATTTCGGGCATGCCCACACATGTGTGTGGAGCGTTTCTCAAACCACCAGGTCCAGGACTCGAACTGCACAGTCAACCCTATGGGATTCAGACCCTTAACTGCCATGCTGCCACTGGCCCTCTGCAGTCGTCTTGCAACTGTTCAGTTCTTTGTCGGTATGTTTATGACTTTTATTTTTTTAATTACCAGGTGCTTTCCGGGGAGAGAGGAAGACAGGGAGAGGAGAGAAGGGCAAGCACCCTCCAGTGGATGTGGTTGCAGGTAGCCCTCCTCACTTCTCGGTGCCGGCAGGACTGGGGGCGTGCCCACGCCTGGGCCAGTGTCATTTCCAAGCCACCAGGCCTGGGCCCTGAGCTCTGCAGGGAGTCACGTGGGACCCAGCTCACTTGCCCTCTAGGCTCTAGGCTGGCCCCTTTGGTCCTAGCAGTTCGAAGAGCCCAGGCCGCAGCCCCCAACAGCTGTGCATGTCCCGGGAGGTCCCTCCAGCCCCGCGCCTCAGTTTCCCGACCCACAGTGGGTGCCGTGAGCAGCCAACTCAGGGTTGTGAGAGGGCTAACTACTGGTCGTTGGAAAAGTCATGATCCATTTTGCTTAGAAACGGAAAAATATGCCGACTTTCTGAAGACCTAATCATATACCAAGCTTTAGAACGGTCCCGGCACATGCTAACGCGCAGCGAATTCTGGACGAGGAGGTCGCCGTCCTCGGGATGGTCCCGGGTAGTGGTGGTGTGCTGGGGCGGGCAGCGAGCACGTGGAACACTTCACACCACACGGCCCCACACCCAGCGCCCTTCTGAACGCGGGAAGGCGGCGGGGACTGAAGACAGGACCGCCAGCTGGACCATCACGACCAGGACGCTTGCTGCCAGACCAAGAGCACGTGCCATTTCCATGCCATTTCCACCCACTGTAACTACGGGAAGAACCAAACTTAAAGCCGAGGACCCTAAACTTAAAGGTGGCGCAATGTCTGTATTACCAAATGTTTAAAGATAAACTCGAGGGCCAGAAGTCAGTGTGTCCGCCATGACCTGTGAGCAGCCCGGTATTTTACTAAGCAGTACACGTATTACTCAATATGGCACTCTTCCACGTAGCCTCTTAAAGATGCAGAGCGTCTCAAAATTCTTACTGATCTGGCCAGACCGCTCCGGGCAGCGCGTTGCTGCAGCTGTGCCAGGTCGGCCTGGCAGGGTCCCAGGGAGGACAGCTTCTAGTCACATGCCTCCCCCTCTAAGTTGTTTTTCTCTGGAAAAGGAGATCAACACCCATCTGTACTGAGATAAAGTCTCTGAGTGTTTCTTCTGTTTTAGTTTTAGAGGGAGATTTTTGCTGTAGGGTGTGTGCGCTCACCCAACAGAGACAGAGAGACAGAAATCACCCCCCAGAGGGGATGGACGGGCCACAACCTGTCCTCTTCCAGTCCCCAATCCAGGTCTCAGACTGACAGGCACACTTGCTTGGCGTGCGTTTTAACTGCTGGGACCGGGACTTGAACTGTGGTCGGCTATGTAGGTGTCCAGTAGCTAACCACTACACCATCTGCTGGTCCCTGTTTCTTCTTTTTTTTTTAAAAAGGTTAAGGTGCTGAACTGTTACATGGCTGATCACGGTTCAAGTCCTGGACGAGGCAGGTTGCTTTCTCACTTTGGTGAGCTCACATACCCTATAGCAAATTAAAATAATAATAATTTAAAAAATTTAAAAGTTTATCTTTTCCACACGGGGTGTGAACCCCCAGAAAGGAGTCTTCGTTGCGATCAGGCCCAGACCGCAGCGCGGCAGCTCTGTTCGCGGGACGGCCTCGCAGAGGGCTGGGTCTTCCCGCCAAGCCACTGCCTGCCCCCCCCCCCTCCCCCGCTCAGAGTGAGTACACAAAGCCATTAGTACCCTAGCCTACTAATGCTTTGAGTAAGTTAAGAATGAAAAGGGGCGACAGGTGCTGGGCAGAACGGTAATTTCCGCACTAGGGTACGGGAAAATTCTGTACCGAGCAGCAAGCCCAGGATTTCTGATTCTCCAGCGCTGAGAAAGCACGGAGTCCGAAGCCACGCAGCCAGGGCTAAGCCCTTCCCTGCAAAACCGCCCGCCGCCAGCCGGGCGAGCCCGGGAGCCAGAGCGGCCGCAGCGCCGTGCAGGGGTGCCGGGGGGGTGTGTG